TTGAGTCAAAACCAAATTGCCCTTACATCGCCAAAGTTCATGCGGTTCGCCTGCTTGCGGAATTCTGTGAGTGCATAACGCTCTTTCATCTTGCGCACACGCTTGCCACCACGTTTCTTCTTGCTACCCTCAATCGGCTTGGATAGTGGTTTGATAAACTTAACTGGCGGTGGTTCTTGCAACTTATCCAGCTTCTTCTCAATATCTTCTTTGAACTTCAAGCCAAATTCACCATGCACACTTTCGTGACAAGCGTCTACGCGTGCAGCAAGTACGGCCTTGGCGGCAACCAAACGCGATGCTTTGCGACGAAGATCCTATAATTTTCGAAAGAGTTTAGTAGTATGAAAATAAATATCTAAAGTATTTCTACCAACCGGTGATGTATCTTGCACAATCTGTGAGAAGTAAACATATCCTGTGTGTGGTAGCATTTGTGTTTTCGAAAAACTGTAGAATGTACGTTTGTCATTAATCCTAAATTTTCAATAAACTAACTCTAATTTACCCCGATAAAGTTTTCTTTTGTGAGCCCAACACTTGTACATTACAAGCAGGCATTTTTGATAGTTTTGTTAAACCACCAGCTATGCCCAGCAGTTTTGCTGCGGTCGATGCACCCACGATCATGGAAAGATTGGGCGCAATAAAGGTCATGCGACTTTCTACGTATTCATAAATTTGTGATTTGAAATTGTTCAAATCGATTGCCATTTCGCAGGCTTCATCAATCTGGGCCTTTTCGGTAGGTGTCAGTTCAGTGCTAAAAAGGCACGAAGTTGTTATATATGTGTGTATGTACATATTAACAATTTAAATTTGAAATTTCCTTACCCTTGCGTTGTTGACGCTGTAACTGATACAATCATAATAGTGGCTTGCGTTAGTATGGCCTGCAATTTCTCATTGTTCTTCACCTGCTCAAGGTCATTGCCCAACTCTTTCACCGCATACAGATACTCAATTTCACCAACAATCAGCGAGTCCAGTTCGGGAAAACGCTTTTGATATTTCTCTTTGGCAAATTTGTGTATAATTGCTAGAATAAAAAAAAAAAAAACATTAAAAAAAGCAATTTTCAAAAATTTAGGTGTACCGTTAATTTCATGATCCAATTATCGGATCTAAAAAAAATTAGTATGGGACCACTCTCAAGGGACCACCTTTCCGAAGAAAAATCGGTTAACGTGGTCCAAAGTTATGCAGTACCAAAAAAAAATAAAAAATATTCCGACGAATTGATAACCTTCTTTTTTGAAGTCGATTAAAGACGCAAAAGCCTAGTATGCATAAAACTTACAGATTTCATTATCAATATCCACCGCTATAGCATTGGCCTCCACGATAAGCTGATATTCAGGGTCCGATTCCACATTTCCCAGCATCTCCGCTGAGGTACGCTGTCTGCTACCATATTGCTCGATTTGTTTTAGCACGTACTGCAGACGTTCAGAGTCGCGCAACTTGCAGAGCTCTCGTACGGATTGCACCTGCACATCAACTTCCATGAGATTTACCTGTGGCTTGAGAAGCTTTTCTGTTATCTCCTGTGCTGCCTCCTCATCCTCATCCATCTGCAAAAATGTAAACTACCGTTGAAAAAGCTTAAATTTTTTCTAATCCACATACATTTTGCAGCTCATCAATTTCGTTGTCATTGTCTTCCTCGAGATCAGCCAATAGTTCGTCGGCTAAAGACATTTTTTAAGTTTTTAATGCAGGTCTTCCGAGCTTTAATCAATAAGAAAACAACGCCGCCTAATCAGAAGAAAATCGTTTGCAACACGTTCGATGCCAGCTTCCAATCAGTCAGCTGTTATTTTGACAGCAATGGGGAAATGTAAACAAAAGCCACCTATAACCGTGTTGCCAAGTCTTGTTGATTTAAAAAGCGTTACAGCCCGTAGTCATAGAGAAGTTAGAAAAAGGTTTTAACAATAGGTTTGTTCGTCGAAAATCCAGCAAGAATTATCCAACACTCAAAATATCAGAGAGTAAGAAAAAATTCTCTCAAATTCTCTCTCATGTTGAGAAACTTGCAAATTTCTGCACGAACGCAAATTTGCAGGAATTTGCAAGTTTCCCTGCCAGCTGGCGTCCACGGTTGCATTTAAAACATAAAAAATTTGTATAGAATTTTTAAAATTCTTTCGGATGGCCAAAAACAGGATATACATGTATATTTCTTGTTGTTCTGACTTTCTTTAACATACATTTCAATTTCTTCATCGTACTAGCTGTCGGGTTTCTTAAATCGACTCTGGTTGAAATTGCATTCCGATTGCGAATACCATTTTTTTCAGCCGAATTAAGTTCAAATCATTGGAATTAAGTAAATTAATTATATCAACAATTATTTACTTCCTTTTTTCATAAAAAAATCGATCGTGTTTATAAATTTTTAAATTTAACGAACTAATTTATTCAAATTATTGTAGACAAAAATGCAACCATGCACCACAACCACATGTATTTCGTGTTTACAAATTCTTGCTGACAAAATTTTTTCCAGCAAGAATTTGCAACTTCTCTCCAAGAGAACTGTCACTTTGCTCTCACAATTTTTGAGTGTTGGATAATTTTTTGGTCTGCACGAACGCGATTTCGGCAAAAATCGTGATAATTCGTACAAATTCGTACAAATTTTTTGCTCGACGAACAAACCTAATTAAAATTGTGTTTTATTGTAATCACCATTTTAACACTTTCATAGTCAACTTAAAATGCTTTTTATTGCAGAAACAGAATTTTAATGAGGAGAACGCGGTTTTAATATGGTAAAATAAGGTTCTAAGTTTTGTTTTGTTGTTGAAGTAGTAAACGCAATAGCACCCAGGTTCGGTCCCCACTCCGAGCGATTCCAAACAATTTTTTTTTATTTTATATTTTTATTTTGAAATAACATTATTTTATTTAATTTTGTTTTATTATCTTTTTTTGTTTATGGTATTTCATATAATTATTTCGTTATTAATCAAATTTTTTGGAGCTTAATTTTAATTAAAAAGGCCACAACAACTATAATTAAATAAAACAAGTTAAAAGAACAAAAAAAGATGTAAAAAAATGTTCCCTGACAGTGGGATTCGAACCCTCGACTTCCCGGCTTGCTATATCCGCAATCCAGCATCGGACACAGGATGAACTAATTAGAGTACTCATATTTCTATACATTGCCGGGTAAATTTTTTCTCTTCATATGGATAGCACTGTTCTCTCTCGTCTTAACAAAAAGCTTTTTTTTAAATGTCTATGATTGACACAACTAAAAAACCCATTCTAAACTTAAAACTGTATTTTAACAAGAATGAGTTTTAACTTGCGACTATGACTATGGGCCACTACGTTTATACGTAAGCTATTCGCAAATAAAAATAATTTGCAAATATCTAACTCACTGTTTATTCGATGGTGAAATATTCTTTTTTAATATAAAAAGGCAATCATATGACCATCGAAAAATCATTCCCACGACAGCCGGTTCTACGTACCGGAATGACTCGGGTTTTACCCGACCAAGGGCTGTTTTTACCCCGGCGACACGACCACACACGTCTCTCAAACCCCGCATTACCACACGTCTCCCGAACCACATGAAGCTCCTTCAATTTAACTGCAACGGGCTTCAGAGCAAGTTCGAGGAGATAACCGTCTTTATGGGAAGGCATGGTATACTGACAGCTGAGGTCCAAGAGACGAAGTTGCACAGCAATTCAACATTGTTGAATTGAGCCGGGTACAACGTGCACCGTCGAGATCGCGAGCGAGATAATGGTGGTGGCTTAGCGTTCATCACGCACCACACCATGCTGTATCGTCTTATCGAAGCAGACATCGATCGTAGGGATCATAGAATGTCAGGGCATTGCTATCCGGTCAGGCGATGTTGAGCTCGAAATATTCAACGTTTATATACCCCCTGTCACCTGCTGCCCGGCAGGATATCACCCTGACATAGGTGCGCTCCTCAGAGGTGAAAACCGAATGGTAGTAGGTGACTTTAATGCGCACCACGATCTTTGGCACTCAAGCCTGTCAAACGATCTTATCAATGACCGACGACGCACCCACCAGGATTATGGGCAGCTGCTGCAGCTCGCCAGACATAACTATAGTCAGCGCTGGTCTGATAAACAGCATATCATGGCGACCTATGCTGACCTTGGCATCAGACCATCTGCCCATAGTCATCTCGATCGATAAACCAACCGACTTTGCTTCCGCGGAGCATCGAACCTATGTATATCAACTTCACCAAAGCTGATTGGATAGGCTTCGCGGAATTTACTGAAAACACCTTCGCTGCTCTCCCCACACCAACCGACGTCCACCTTGGTGAACGTAAGTTCCGCAGGGCTGTTACCGCTGCTGCAGCTCGCTTCGTACCGGCAGGATGCATCACGGACTCACGTCCAAATTTCCCTGCCGAAGCGGCTGTTCTAGCCGATGAGCGTGACAGCCTTCGTCGGGCCGATCCCCGTATCAGGGATCTCAACGCGGAGATTCGGCAACTAGTGAACGTACATAAGCGGAAGAAGTGGGAAGAACATCTGAAGACCTGCAACTTCACCGCTGGTGTGAGTAAGCTATGGTCAACCGTGAGGTCACTGTCCAATCCGACGAAGCACGACGACAGAGTCGAAATTTCTTTCGGCGGCCATGCCTCGTCGGACCCGGAGCGATGCGCGAGCTACCTCAGCCGGCAGTTCATACTGCATCCTCCGGCGGACAAAACCAAGCGTCAAGTGACCAGAAGGCTGCACAAACTGCCAACAAATTGTGCCCCACTTTCTTTCACCTGCGGTGAAGTTCAGGTGGCTATCGGGAAGGCGAAAGCCTCCAAAGCCATGGGTCCCGACGGAATATGCATGCTGATGCTGAAAAATTCGGGTCCTCCGGGAGTAGCGTACCTAACGGAGGTCCTCAATTTGTCTATGGTCACTGTCATCATCCCAGACATCTGGAAGGTGGGGAGAGTGGTCACACTGCTCAAACCGGGGAAACCCGCCAACAAAGGAGATTCGTATCGACCGATAACACTCCTTTCCCCGGTAGCAAAGACACTTGAGGCCCTGCTGCTCCCGTATTTCGCGAACCACCTGACCCGAGTGAAGCATCAGCATGGTTTCAGTAAAGTGCACACTACAACAACAGCACCTAACGCCATAAACACTCAGATAACTCGTGGCCTTAACCGTAAACGTCCCTGTGAGAGAACGATTCTAGTAGCGTTGGACCTGTCAAAGGCTTTTGACACTGTCAGCCATTCCACGCTACTAGAAGATATAGAGGCTTCCTCTCTCTAACAGAGGCTCAAACGGTGGTCGGCAAATTATCTGAGTGGTCGACACTCGTCGGTAATGTGAGACAAATCGAGCAAACTTAGAAAAATAAAACAGGAGGTTCCACAGGGTGGTGTCCTTTCCCCGCTACTGTTTAACTTTTACATTTCAAAGCTCCCTCAACCACCAGAGGGAGTCTCGATTGTCTCTTACGCCGACGATTGCTCGATCATGGCGACTGGGAATGGAATTGATGACCTGTGGTCGAAAGTAAACGGGTATCTCTTCGAACTTTCTTGCTTCTTCACTGCAAAGTGTCTAGCCCTCTCCCCTACGAAATCCTCTGCGACCCTGTTCACAACCTGGACGAAGGAGGTCAGGCTACCACTGGGAATTCACGTCGATGACACACCAATTCCGACGGTGAAAAATCCCAAAATACTCGGAGTAACATTCGACAGCCTGCTCTCCTTCTCTGCGCACGCAACCGCTATTGTCACTCAAGTACAGAGCCGCAACAAGGTCCTCAAGTCGCTAGCCGGCAGTACTTGGGGCAAAGACAAAGAAACGTTGCTGGCAACATACAAGGCAATAGACCGGCCGGTTTTAAACTACGCAGCACCAGTGTGGTCGCCGGGGACTAGTAGGATGCAGTGGATGAAGCTACAGACAGCACAAAACACAGCACTCAAGACAGCGACCGGATGCCTCCTGATGTCACCAGAACGCGACCTCCATGATGAGACGAAAATCCTCCCAATTAGGGAGCACAACACAATGCTCTGCAAGCAGTTTCTGGTTGGCAGCGACAGATGTGGCCACCCAAATAGACAGCTGCTTGCAGAGGAGCCCTCGCCAAGGCACGTCAGGAGGCATCTATACGAACTGACGGACGAAGTCCAGAGGTTCATTAAGCAGCCTCTGGACCCGTCAGCTTACAGACAGGCCCTGAACGTCATTCACAGGGACGCAGTCTCGAGTTATGTAGACTCTAGACCTGTGAATGCCGTCCTAGGCACACAAACACCGAACATTGACGCGACGGAGCTCCATCTGCCTCGGAAGACCAGAACAACAATAGCCCAACTTCGCTCTGGCTACTGCAGCAGGCTAAACTCCTACCTGAGTAGACTAAATGCGGATGTGCCGAATGAATGTCCGGCATGCGGAAAGACCCCTCACGACTCGAAACATCTCTTCGCATGCCCGGAAAACCCTACAACCCTAACGGCTTCGTCCCTGTGGACCGACCCCATAGAGGCTGCACGCTTTTTGGGGCTGCCGTTAGTGGAACTCGACGACAACGACTGAGATATCAATCGATCTGGGCGGGGTTGTTGTAGCCGCTACAACAACAACAACAACAACCATCGAAAAAGAAAATAAAGTTAAAAATGGCAACGTCTTGATTATAAAAAGGCAATAAGATGACCATCGAAAAAGAAAATAAACCTAAGAATGGCGGCGTCTTGCGCTTATTTGCAAATAGTACCACTAATCAATACTTATTTGCGTTATTTAGTTATTTGCAAATAAAAAAATAACTCAACGTTTATACGCCAAAGTTTACCACTTTGTAAATTGTTATTTGCAAATAATACGTGCGTATAAACGTAATTCTATTAATGAGCTCTGTTCTGTAATGAGTTCTGTTTAATTAGCTGCTCTTGGTTACTCCAAATTAAGATATCTCACAAAATTGTGGGTAGTAGTGCACTTTAGCGGAACCAGGTCAAAATGGATGGAAAAATTCGAGCGTGGTATCAATCGACGCGTCTTGACGTCAGTAATAATAATCCGAGACCGGAAACTAACATTTTTAATTCATTAAAGAGTTGTTTGCAAAAAACACACTGCACTAATCACTTTTCTTTTCATTATTATATCATTTTTTCTTCATAAACAAATGAATGCACATCTTTTTTTTTACTAAATATTTAACAATTAATGCTTATAAAAGTGCTCTTTAAATAAGTTTCCATTCGCAAACAATCTGTAAACACACAATTGTTGAGCGATGGCCGCGAAGTATGTAATGCCAGATCGTTGAAAACTTTACCCAAAAATACTTTGCGAGACATTACGAAATATAAAGTATATAAAATATGTAAATTTCAAGGTAAAACAATATTTTATTACAAAATGATCGCGCGATTTTTTATTACAAATTTTCGCCTGATGCGTTTTTTTTAATTCATTACTTCATTATATATTGAAAGTTTTTAATAAAAAATGGGGGTGCTTTAAAAAAAATCAATACTTCGTTATATTGCAAATTTTCGTTTGCGCAGATTTTTTTTTTAAATCAATACTTTGATATATAGTAAAAATATGCACTAAAAAATGGTGCGTTTTCATTGTTTCCGTCTTCGGTTTATTTTTCGACATTTTAGGGATGTGTGGCAGCACCGAAATTTCAGTCCAATCGCTTTACAAAGGAAAAAATTGGGTTAAATTTGACTTTTTTTGCTAATTTAAAATCATTGGAACCTTCTCTACACCCCCTCATCAACCCTTTTTTTTTTCAAAGCCTGGTCCATTATTGGAAAATTTTCCCCATTTCCTCATAGCCTTTTAATTATTTTGGCGCGTATTCATAGTCCAGCAACTAAGTCGAAACTAACAAAGTTGCAACTTAAATTTAAGTACCAACTTAAAATTTACCTCTATTCATAGTCGCATTTCAGACTTCTACTAAGTAGTTTCGACTTAGTTTACGATATAGCAAAACGAGCGTGAAAATGTATCGAATTTTCTTTACGATATTTTGGAAAAATTACATTTTTATTAAATAATATCAAGTTTGATCATCCGTTTATGTAATTTTTATTTTCATTGCATGATTATGCAAAAGAATAAGGTATCTTGTTAATTGTGTGAAATAGCCAGAACAACCGCAGTGATGTGAAGTCGATGTTTATCGAAAGCATGCTGTGGAACATACAAATAGTAGATATCTAAATGTTATGCACAAATTTACTTTAAAAGAACTAGCGTGAAAATTTATCTAAATTATTCCAATTATAAAATTGTGATGTAGCTTTATTCGAATTGTAATACGCATTTAATTTCATCTTCCGATTAAAATGGATCGATCTTTGTAAATTTTAATTGGAGTTTATTCAATATTATCAAAATCACCCTCTACCAACTTAATTTTTACATATTTCGTCTGTTTTCCCTTAATTTGATAAAATACTTCTTCCTTGTTACGACTTAGTTGCAGCTGCAGCCGAAACTAAAATTTAAGTTGGTACTTAGCCAGAAAAGTCGAAACTAAGGCGACTATGAATAGCTTTAGTTGTGACTTAGAAGAGTTTCGACTTAGTTGAGTACTAAATATGACTATGAATATGCGCCTTTATTTCTAACCCATAGTTCAAAGGCCTTTTATTGAGGCACCACTGTTGTGCGAAAATTTCAAATGTCATCAAATTGCGCGGGCGCTTTGCTTCAATAAAAGTAGAATAAAACAAAATACTTGGCGTCATTTTTCGCATGAAAAAATTTTTACAGATTAGTGTGTATTGATCTAATAAAATTTTGGTGAGAATGTCGTCGAAGAAGTTAAATAAAAGTGGCAGTGCAGGTTCAGGTGGTAGCGGTACGCCCAGCAATACGCTGTTCAAATATTTTGCACGATCGCCGGCCACAGCAGAAAAGAAGAAAATTCCCAGGACACCCAGTGTGGAAGAAACCAAGAAGTTCGAAAAGGATGTGGAAAAGGAGAACTTGGGGAATAGGCACAGTCTAGGTGATGAAGAACCTTCAGCTAAACGAAAACTAGAAAAAGAACTCAAGCAGACGCAAATGGATGTTGATGAAGACACAGAGGATGAGGATATTACCATTAAACGGTCGCAGAAGAAGAGGCAACGCATAATAGATTCCGATGATGAAGAGGAGGTTAAGTCAAAAGGAAAAACAAGCA